CGGGACGATGGTGGTGGTGAAGTTGATGATGATAGTGGTAGAGAATGATTGAGAGAAATAAGTATTTCTCTTTTTGTGTCCGGGAATAAAAAAACAGAAATTTGTTTATTCTTTTTTCTACTTCCCAACACAAAAATTAAACTGGTTCATCCCGGGAATAAAAAAATAAACCGATTTCACCAAACGAGATTTCTATCCATTTCTGTTCCTGAGAACAAAAATTAAAAAAAAATTCTAGGAAGGTTATCATGCCCTCTCAAAGTATAAAATATAACGGAAATTATACTCTCATATTACATAAGATTTATCTCTCACGTTACATTCACATACCTCTCTTTTTTTTCTTTTTCCTTTTATTAAAAATTGGTGAGCCCTACTTAATTTATCTCACAACATAAGATACGTCGCCTCAATAGCGGGCCTAGAATTTTTTTTTTAATGTCTGCACACTTAGAATAAAAGAATAAAGAAAAAAAATTAATTTTTTTAAATATATTAAAATACAAAAGAATATATATATAAAAAAAAACTTTAACTTAATATAAAAAAGTAAGCAATAGTCAACTAAACTGTTATAATAGAATATTTTGGGTCCTCAACAAAAATTACGGGTCTCAATTTAATCTCTTAGGGAAAAAAATCTACTCGTGATCCCTTAGAATTCAAAAATAGACTCAGCTAATCAAAATCATTGTCCTCTGAAATTCAAAAAGTCCCATATTAATCCCTCAAAAAGACTAACATGGGTCTATTTTGAATTTTAAAAAGATCACGAGACGACTTTTTTTAAGAGATTAAATTGGATCCTGTAATTTTTGTTGATGACCCAAGATATATTTTATTCTTTTTTTCTCCAAAAAATTAGTGTGTGCACTTGCACACACTAAAACATACACAGGTCCGCCACTGCTTCTCCTCTACAACATGAGAGAAATAAAGCCCAAAATATAAACAACAATGCTAAAAGTTTTTTTTTTTTTCGGAAGCTAATTCTATTCATCCATTAATTGTATCTAAAGAAAAAACATCACTTTCTCTTACGCGGAAAGCTCTATGAGAAAGAACAGAGGACAAATGACCACAAAAGAAAATGATTCTTGATATTATTCTCAATGATACATTTGTCCTACATACCTTCCTATTTATAATATGTATCAGCCCTATGTACTGTTATAACTTATAACAACTTTCATATACTGTTACAACTAAATCACTTTTCCTAATTTCCTCATGACTCTATCACTTTTTCCTTCCCCACGTCATTCTCAAAAGAAGAGAATGACTTTTCCTCACCTTTGCACATTTTATATTATATTTCAAACAATTGATTCAATTCTTACTCTCGAAGAGAGTTCACAATCTATATACAATTTATGCCAACTATGTGTTAAAAACGTTATTTATTAAAAAAGGGAAAAAAAAAAAAGGAGAGAGTTAGAGGAAGCTTTTTTATCCTTTTCACTTTACGTGCAGTAAGGACTCTGCTTCTTTTGAAAACTATGTGCATGAATGGAACTCCACATGCTGCTCCTCCTCTTTGGTTTATTTTTTGGAACAATTATTGGGAGCTACTTTTGCCTATGCACCATTGCCCATTGGATGCTCGTGGTCTCATACAAAAACATGTGCTAATACAGAAAACAGTGATTTCAACTGCTTAACAAAATGATTGGCCTTGAATTTAGCTAGCTATTGGGTCTGAGTTCAAGACGGTCTTATTTAGAGTATATGAATTGTGTATGGTATAGAAGTTAAAAGTGCGTATGAATTAACGTGAAAGTATTTTTGTTGATTTAAAAAGATTTATAGTAAATGAACGTATTTACGTTTTAAAAAGAATAAATTTCGTTTGGATGGCAAAGTAAAATTATTTTTTGAATTCATGATAATAATGATTTTTAATTTTTTCTTACTAATAAAAAACCTAAGTGCATTGATTGAATAGTGTTAAATATATTTTTGTAAAATATTTCCACATTTAAAAAAGGGAAAAATGTTTCTTAACTTATCTGCATTTATTCCCAAAACGACGTCGTTTTAGTATTGAAATCTTAAAAAGTTATAAATATAAAGACTATTATAACTCTGAAATAAATTAAAATTACAAAAATACCATGATTTTTGCCCCAAAACGACGTCGTATTGACTTACTGGAGATAATTTATTTGCAATAACTGCAGAAAAAGCGACCCTTTTAAAAAAATACATTTTATATTTTTTTTATTTAATATTTTTATTTTAAATTCATTTTCAATTGTGAATCATTTTAAATTCTTTAACAAATGTTATTGTGACACTCGTTGGCAAAAAAATTCTTTAAAAAAAAATTGTGTCATACACCTAGATATACTATATGAGATAAGATGTTGTAACAACCAAATAGTGTTACCATCAATGTTACTACCAATCAATTTCACCGTTAGATCGATTATGTTGATCTAACAGTTATATTTATTTTCATCTTTGTATGATTATGATTCCCCATATTTAAAATGAAATCATTGAATATCGAAAATCATAACCATACAAAGGTGAAAATAAATATAAAGTATTAAATATGAAAAATCATAACATACAAAGATAAAAATAAATATAACCATTGGATCAACATAATCAATCTAACGGTAAAATTTATTGGTAATAACATTGATAGCAACACCCATTGTTTGTTACAATATCATTCCCCGTATTATATTTACCACAAAAGTGAAAAAATTGATTTTGAACTGTGTTATAAAGAAAAAGTATTTTCTTCCTCAATGAAACGGTTGAGTAGCAACAATTTCCCTTAAAATTTCATAAAGAGAGAAATCATATACTTACGATAACTATTGAAAATAACTAACTTATTTTGATAAGAGGAGAGAAATCATATGCTTATGATTAAGGGTGATAGTTTTAAAGAGTACTCGTACTCGTTGGCATAACACGCACATTATACAAAAAAAAAAAAAAATTGTGTTCAGATTGATCCGTTTTAAAATTCGTGTTGTGTTTGTATTGGGAAAAACTGATATGAAAAAATTTATGTCATGTTACATATCAATCCACAAACACAAAATTGATCGGTGTTAATTTTTTTACATGTTAACCTTGTCGTGTCTTATTCGTGTCGTGTTAACCTGTAAAGCAAGTCAGGCGCGTGTTCATGTTGAAAGCTTTGACTTTTTTTCAAATTCATATTATTTATGTTAAATATATTCATGTTCGTATCAAATTCATAGCGTATCATGTCAAACCGAATTGACATACTTATTTACAATAACTACTTTATCAAATAGTAATTTAAATAGTTAAAAATAACTAATTAATTTTTTATTGGATGAGAGAAATCGTACGGTTACGATAGCTATTGAAACTTCTTTATGTAGCTAGTATTAAGGGACAAGTTACATATCTTATGGTGAATTATTGAATGTCCATATCAAAAAGTAAGGATGTTGCTATTTGCATACTTTTCCTTTATCATCCACTTTAACACCTCTTTGATTATAAGTAGTAGCTATCGTCAAAATGATGCTAGTTGAATAAACTTTAAAAGATGGAGGCACAAAAGTAATGCGAAGAAATGTGCAAAAGTGGGGGGAGGTAATGCAAGGAACATGAATAGAATACTTTTACCCAAAACAAAGATTGAGACGTGTTTCGCACCTAAAGAAATAAAATAAAAAAATGTTGAGAGGAAATGGTGATTGAACCTTGTAATTAATTTTAGACTAGTCTTTCAAATAGGGAAAAAGTATGCGACACCTGGTATCATATAAACCTGTTCCCACACATGCCAATATGTATGGATTTAAGTGATAATCACTTTGTTCCCTTTTGCTGAGTATAACTTATACTTTACATTCGTATGACAACACACACACAAAAACAAGCCACGATGGCCCGCTACTTTGTTGGGCCTTGAGTTTATTTTATTTTTATCTTTTTAAATAATTTGAATTTAGGCTCATGAATAATTATTATTGCTTAGGATTCCTAAATCTATTTATATTCCTATTGTAAACAAAATGCTTTATCACCAGTGCTGTAAGGAAAATATAATTAAACATTGCTGAAAATAGCCCACTTTAGGTGAACTGAGGAAAATCTGTGTCTCAATTATTTCTTCACTTCTCTCTTTTCTATTTGCACATGTGTAATTGTAAAGAACCTTGGGATACACCATCCCAAAAGCTAGCTCAAAGGGTGGTATAAAGGCCATATTAGTTGCACATCCAATCAATGTGGGACTATATATCTCAACACGCCCCCTCACGCAAGAGCTTTTTTAGGCTAGAAGCGTGGAAATTGCACAGGCCCATTTTTGGTTTACCTTTTTGTGCTTTTTTTTTATTTTAATTCCACTTTTCAAAGCGGGGGACGGTGAGGCTCTGATACCATGTAAAGAACCTTGGGATACACCACCCCAAAAGCTAGCTCAAAGGGTGGTATAAAGGCCATATTAGTTGCCCATCCAATCAATGTGGGAATATATATCTCAACATTAATTATTGGGTGACAACACCCTTAACCAAATTTCTAAAATGTAAGACCCAGAAATAAAGAAAATAGTCTTAGAGAATCATTCCATGTAACTAGATAAATCAAGTAATCAATAAACTGATATATATATATATATATATATATATATATATGTGTAAAACTAATCTTATGTTGCATAAGATAGTGTACCTCATGTTTTGAAACAAAATCAAGGTGAGTTCCATTTTCATTATTTTTCTGTTTTATTTTTTAGTGGGTCCCACCTTGATTTTGTTTCACGACATGAGATACACTATCTTATGCAACATAAGATTAGTTTTACCCTAATTTCTGTTCTTTTTACTGAATCACATGAAATTTTACTCAACTCCGTGTACAAAATACCTATTATAATATAAAAAGAGAGGAATAAATAGAATTTGATACTCAAATTGGAATTTGCACCAAAACAAACAGAGAGAACCTATATATATATATATATATATACATGGAAAGAGATCATTTGACTCTAGAGTAAGACTTATAAGTATTACACCAATGCAAGAATAAAAAGTATTACACCAAATTTTGGTCATTAATTTGAAACCCACTTTTAACAAAATTTTATTGTACAAAATCAAAATTAAAATCAAGTTTGAAAAGGATCACCTAAGACGCTTAGAAGCAGGGGATGGGAAGCTACTTACAATACTCTTTTTCTGCATTAAAGATGACATACTATCATTTGTTTCTCCGTATTCAAACTTGCTGCGGGATATGATTTTCCTTGTCCTTCTCATAACATGAAAAATATCATAAATAGCACTTGTCTGCTCAACTATACAACTATCTAGCAACTAACCTTAATCATCATCGTAACCTGCATCATCCATGTCAGCATCACCATCTCCATACTCATGGTCCTCAGGTTGCACTTGATCATCTGCTGCAGCGTTGTTAAGCGGTGCATCATTCTCTACCGCATCAGCGGGTACCGTCCCCTGCGATGGTTCATCCTTCTTTGCTTGCATGGATGTCAGACTTTCATCACTGAAGAATGAGGAATACGGTTTGGAAACCTGCAGATGGAAATTGTTTATGAGACACAAAAAATTTGGGTCCATAATTATTTAGGAATGTATTATACATAGGAAAAAGTACTAATGCAAATTCTGATCAGTTAGGCTCAATTAAAATTATCATTTTAATGGATCTGATTTCACTGCATTGCTAATAGTAGATATATAAGACTTTTCAGAGCATTTACTTTGAATAAACAGTCCCTCTTCTCAGCACTTTCCACCAGCTTGTTCCATTGTTCACTCCTCCTCAATGTTGAGGCAGATCCAACCACCTATATAAACAACAAAAATGCATCACATTAAAGGCATATGCACCACATGAAATTGTTGAAAGCTTTACGTTAACCCCAAATGGTTACAGTACCAACACTGCAGATTTTGCTCTAGTGATCCCAACATTCATTCTTCTGATGTCCTCCACAAACCCTATACCTCTATCTTTACTTGCCCTGACACAAGAAAATATTGCAATGTCCTTTTCACGTCCCTGAAAGAGACGAGAGAGTATTTTTCAATATGCCAACCATGTAATAAGCAAATTAGACAGAGAAGAAACCCAAGTCACATGGCAATCATTTAAATAAAAACTCATTGAAATGAAAGAAATATTAATAAAATATACAATTCAATTGGCCATGAATTATTCCTCCAATTTCCGAAGTTATTCTAATTTAATCTTGTGAAAACTTTGCAATAAGGGTGGTACAGTGCAACAGTTCATGTGGATGTATATTAATCCCTTAGAGAGAAGTGCTTGAAATGAATGCCTGTAGCATTGTCTAAGTACACCCTGTGAAAAAGGTTAGATATTTTCTTTTCTTGTTGACATTGTCGAAACAGCAGACAGAAATTGCTTTCAAATGGAAAGCAAAAGATACACACAAATTGGAGAAGCTACACGTCTTCGTAAATGAATTGCATAATGGAAATAATCATAAATTAAGTTACTTAAAACCACTCCCCGTTAAACCCGACTAGCGAGTGTGGGGCGGAGAAAATCCTTGTACGCAGCCTTACCCTTGCATAATTGCAAAGAAACTGTTTTCTGGATTCACGACTTCCAATCGACATCACAAAATTTATGGCTATTCACACTATAAATCTGAATCTCCCATCCTTTATATTTCCATACCACTTTCCGCCTATCAAAGTGTCCACTGCCTGTGGCCTGGAGGCACAATACATCACTGTCATGGGTAGTGGTTCCAACAATTCAGCAACGGTAGTACTGACGGAGGAAAAGTTAAGATCTCCGATAGCAACCTTGAGGTGTCATATACACAAGAAGACCTTGATTTCTCTTCCACTATACCCACCAAAGGTGCAAGCGGAGGCTCAAAACCTTGCACCCTCACTTTGAAATACAGTCGATCTCTCAAACCTCCTGATGTTCATGGTGAGTCACAGTTGATTTTATTCAAAATTCCTTGCTAATATTATTTTGGGACATAGAAGTCAAGCTTGTTGAAGATCGGAATCTTTGATGAGTTCAGACAGCATTGACAGTAAAACAGAGGAAGACAGTGAAGGTATGGAAAAGAGGAAAAGAGAAATGACAAGTTGAATGTTGCCATGGTAGAAAATCCTTCACAATATTCACAACCAGTGATTTAAAGCCTTCTATCTCATGGCCATAAAAAAAAGAGAGCCTTCTATGTTACAATTAATATAAAGCAATTTCAGCTGTTGCAGTGGAGCACCGTGGGTGCACCAGAGTTAGTCTTGCAGTTATACTTGATGTCAAATTTATTGTGCTCAAGTTAGTCAACAATCAGAAGCATATTCCAGTTTTCGCATTATTGATTATTTGATCAATGCTAAAAGCAAAATGACAATAAAGGATATCATATGACTAACATTTAGCTAGTTTACCTGACAACCATCAACAGTACATATATCCACTTTTTTCTCTGCTGACACTCCGAAAGTTTCTTCAAAACGTTTTTGGAACAGCTTGACTTGTTGACTATAGGGTGATATAATTGCAACTTGGTTACCTGACTCCAATGTTGGATAAAGCGTTACAAGTTTTTGATACAAGAATAGGACAAAATCAACTTCCTCAACATTTATCCATGAACCACTCCCAGATGGCCGAGCCTCTCTTCCCTCATGTATGTCAAAGAAGCAGAATGGACCAAAGCAGCGGTACTCATGCCATGCACGCCCTGTTCGTAATTTGATGTCATCCCCATCTTCCAATGAATCCCCATAAAACTCCCTAGAGGGAAAGCTTCTTATCTGTTTGATCATAATATCAACAAAACCCACTCAGAAAGTGTCAGCAAATTTCAATAGATGGACAGAACACAGAAAGCAGATAAAAGTAACAGAAGGAAGGAACATGAGAATGAATATTCTTCAAAGAAAAATAATAGCAAAAGAATGAAATCTTAGATGCTCAAGGTCCACATCCTAATGAGATTTGTATGATCCCCACTTTTTGCCTTGATGCAACGCAACAATACTATGTTTTACAAGTTACCATTCTCTTCTTGGTTATATGATGCAACCAAATGCTACAAAAAATACATAAGGAACCCTAGACGTCAAGCTTGAAATTTTCTTCAAAGAAAAAATAAAAGGACTAAATCTAAGATACTCAAGGTCCACATCCTAATGAAATTGGTACACTCCCCATTTGGCCTTGATGCAGCACAAGAAGACCCCGTTTTACACGTTGCTATTCTCTTCTTCATTATGTGATGCAATCAAATCCTAGGCAAAATACCTAAGGAACCATAGATGTGAAGCTTGGAATATTTCTCTATACATTCCATTTGTAATATGTATGTTAAATACATATTACATAAAATCATTTTGTGGGTCTTCACCTAATAGCATAAGCTTTTGGAAGAGCCTCTATTACCAAGTGATCTAGAATTTGATCCTTGTTGCCCCCATTTTTCTAATAAAAGTTAAATTTCAGCACAAGGCAAGTGGGTCTATCATTATCCACGCTTCAAGTTCAAAGGACTCTTGCGTAAGGTGGCGTATTAGAGATATAATATAAAACTATTTATGTGCCTTCACCGAACAGCTTAAATTTTTGGGAGAGTTGATTCATGGCAACGTATTCTTCAATTTATAACATTCTCTCCATCTTATTACATGGCCTTTGACTAGTTTATTGACTACACATCATTAAAATTCATTCCTTCAAAACCAGCATTCAGTTTTACTCAACTTTTCCTAAGACCCATCAAACTATAGACCTAATTTATAAATACCACTCACAGCAACCGAGTCAATTTGGCCCTTGTATTCCCCCTCTATTACTAGCAAACTACTTTTACCCAGATAGATCCTTCAACGTACCTTCAATCTGTCTAGTTTCCTGACCTTAATTCATCCAAAAACCCCATTTCCAGCATAGTGATCTAAATATGAATTACAGCCACCTTCCTTGATAATAATACAACTTTCATTTTCTCTTACTGTCCTATGTCACCAAGTCTCATATCACAAGACACAACTCGGCAACAATGACCAACCCGAGTATTTTAGGCTATGGCATGGTGCCAGCATTCTTCATTCAAATGCTTGGTTCATCAGGTATTTAAGTTTAAGCCACAGCAATTTTCAATTCCAAAGGTGGGTAGCTCTCACTAAAACCAAATTTGATGCAGACAGAAAGATAACACATCAGTTTAGCTGATTTGTGTACCAAACATGCACACAGAGAGAGGAGAGGGACCCACAAATCATAGCCATACAGTTCGTTAGGATCTTAATTATATGCTGCATATTTCAAGCGTGCAGATTAATTATTATATATTTTTTAATTCTATTAGATTAGGCCAACTATCTGCAGTGTCACAGTTACTTTGGATTGGCTTGTTTCGAAAAAAAAAAAAAAAAAAACTTTAAAACAAACAATTATTACAAAGTTGTTACTATTGAAAGGTGTAAAACAAAGGTTTTTCTGAAAATTGATACATTTGATTTACACTGATAGAGGTATTTATAAAAGAGTAAAAGAGAAAAAAATGGATAAGAATGACTCAGCAATAAGTCATCAACCATATCCTATAGAAGCAAATTCAAAATTCAAATTCCTATTAAAGGAAAAAATCAATCACTAATTAATAAGAAATAAAAGCGGAAAGATTCTAATCCTGATTTTCTACAGTTACCAAATAGTCTTCTAGAAGGCCAAAAATATATGTTTGCTATATTTATTCCAGTATCAAGGGTCTTAGTATTTGTTAGTATTAAATAGCACAGGCAGTTGAAAGACCTACCATACAAAAAAAAAAAAATTAGAAGTATCTAATTAGTTTGCAGAGGTAATTCTCTCACGTTTCAACCTCTTAATATTCATTTAGACATAGAATGACCACATATATTCAACAAATGAACTTTGCAAGATTCTGCTAAACATATTCCCAACCTCAGGATGCATTCGGTATTGGGTCTTCAACATTTTAACCGGATAACCAGCCTGCTTCAATCTTTCAAATAAACTTGTGCCATATCTTAAATTCATGAAACAAAAAGGACACAAAATTAAAGTCTTAACCAGAAGAATGGTTTGATGAATTAAAAAGATATAACTATCACCACATAAATTGTTTACCCATGATTCTTAGCAATGTCCGAAATTACAGTTGCAGGGAGTTGAGCTGGATCACCAACCTTAAAAAAATAGCAAGAAAATGTGACAGCAGTAAGCACAAGATTACACCCAAAATAATTTAAAAAAAGCTTAGTCCAGCAAATTTTGAAAAGGTTCAATATTTGATGTAAAATAATATGTTAGGCATTCCTACCTAGACCATGTGAGAAATATGAATAAGGGACAAAAGAGGGATTGGGATTGTAAAAAGATTGCCAAAAGAAAGAGGAAATTGTCAGAAGCAAAGATAAAAGGAAGGAAAAGGTAGAGGGGAGGACGTCCAGTCATTGAGTAAGTTGGCCTCTGAGCAGGAATTTTTGCACACCCTCAAAGTTCTGCAATGATCTATCTTTTGTTTTCTTGTTTTGTGAGTGATTCTTAACTCTGTAATTGTAGTTTATCCCTCTATTTCTCAGTAATAATTGACCTAGTTCCTATCATAATACTTCCATTCAGCAGGCCTCGTTTAATCAATTAGTAAATTAGCAGACATGAATTATGAATTTCATTTCTAAATTCAATTTCAAATCTTTTAGGTTAAGAGCTACGATGGATAATGAATTTTCTTTCTTAATTTCTTTACAGACGCTGTCAAAAGATATAAATTTGTACTTCATAAATAATTAGATAGTGTAAGGTATCGGAACAATCACAAGAAAATAGAACAGCTATAGGGAATTTAATTGATCTAGGCCCCTGGTATTGAACTGAAATCAGAGGAAGTGGGTACAGCAACTACACATAAACGCTAAATGGAATTACAAACAGACACCCAAACTACTCAGCTTTCGAGAGACTCTGATTCTCTCCTACTCTCTTCCAAGCTGACTACAATGAATCCCCTAATCCCCTTTTACACTCTCTCAGTGTAACTGCTTTTCCCTCTAACTCAACTCACACCGTCTGTGTTGGTTATGAGCCATGTTCCCCTGGGTGTGTGCCTACGATACACCCTAGTGATAAAGGCTTCGCAGCAGATAATTAAGATCCAAAACCGGGCATATTAAGACATAATTGCAATTTTAAATACTGAAAAACAAAAAACAGTGCAGGGCTCTATAGAGAAAGGAGCAGAAATGAAAAATACCAGGAAAACTTTTTTGCATTGATTGGCTAAGGGAACAAGAGTTGCAGGTTCCACCTGTTTGGGGGTAACGTCATATTTACACAAAATAAAATAAAAAAATCATTACATATTGATAATCATGAATATAATCATTACAATTAATAAGAAGTTAATAACACAACACAACAAAATTACTAGGAGTTGTTAGGAATAATAACATGTGATAAATGTGTAAAATATATTAGGGTATTCTATTATTCTATTATGGCTATCATTTTCGTTTTGTCTATTTTTCTTTTAATGTGGTGTCAGGAGCCTTACTTCTAAATTAGAGAGAAATCCTTGTTAGAAGATGTTAGGTCTTGGGCTTTTAAATTGAGTGGCTCTTGATGGTGTTTGGCCTCTGATGCTTGATGCGGATTGATTTGGACACTTCACAGCGGTATAAGGCTGAGGCTGCTGAATCAATAGTGGATGGGATTCAGGTAGGTGGTTTCGTTGGTGTGTAGGGTTTGTGTTTCTGGTGTTGAGCACCGTGAATTTGGTGTTTGTTTGTAGACCTTGAAGAATTACGGAGTTGATTTGAGGATTCTCTGGCCTTGGGTGGTTCATGTGTGGCTTGAACAGGTGGATTATGGCAGTGGGGTCTGTTTGGAGGTTATTATAGATGCTGAAAAAATGTGTTTAGAGTTTCTGGCTTTTTAAGGGGTTCAAGATTTCCGATGGAGGTTTTTAGGTCATGTTTTGTGTTAGAATATTGATAAGGTATCATATAATATTGTGATTATATCTCAATAGTTTAGAGTATCTTAGATGATCTCTTAGGATAGGGTTCTACATTTTCTTTATATTTCATAATTTGTTTCCTTATTTTAGGAATCTCCTAATAGTATAAATAAAGGAAATTACTATGTCTTTTGCATTACATCATAACACATCAGATCAGTGCCAATTCCATATTATTCAATCTTTATTCTCTCTTTTCTTCATTTCCAACCTAAATCATATAATTTCAGTAGTGTTTGTTAATAGTACAGCAGACAAGCTTTTGTTTGTTAATTGAGACTTTGGTTTGTTCTACTCTGGTGCATTCTGTGACCATCGGCAAGATTTTTGGCTGAGTCCTGATTCAGGGGCAGACTCCTGTTCTTCAAATTATGGTTTTGTCTTCATGTTGTTGGGTATATGGATTGAATTTTGACGGGCATTTGGCAGCACTTGGCCGGGGCAATTGTGTTTTAGTTCCTGATCTGCCTCTGTTTCGTTGTGTGTGATGTTTTGGAAGAAATATTGTTCCCGGTTTCTTTCTTTTAGTGTCATGGTTTTCTGATTGAAGACTTTGGACATTTGTGTTTCAGGATAATATGTGATAGGAAACCACCCAATTCTTATCCAAAATATGCTTCCTATCAAGGGTACTCCATCTGCATACTAAAAATAATTTGAAGAAATGCAGGAACTTCTCTGGACCAGACTTTGCCAAGTTAATTCATACTACTAGTACTCTAACATGTGATTCCATAACTACTGATGATGATTTCACACTTACAGCTTGTGCTGCTTCATCTATAATCACAACATCAAAACTGCGACTTAGTTTACTGAAAACATGTGAACCACTGAAGCTGAGAGTGGAGAAGACCTGTCAGGCACAAAGAAAATACTGAGAAAACCATATTGCTTTTTGCTTTTTCTTTTGCATTCAACATAAAGCTTGAAATATGTACTATTGTGGCCTCGTCCAAAATGGCAGCCCGGATACTGTCATCATTACTTCCTGCAGGACCACTACTCTGCTTATCAGTGGATGATTTGTTGGCATTAGCGCGTTTTTGTTTGACCTGCAAGTGAATTTTTAAGCATCAAAGTTTGACCCAAATTACATTTAAAAGCTCGACATTAATCATATAAATTGCAATATTGATTAAAGATCCTATAAATGAAGTTTCAACTTCCAATTCATTATTCAAAGTATTGTGTAACTTGGTGGATTTGAACCAAGTTCTAGAAATATGTATTATGCTCAAAATTTATTTTCTTGAAGAAAATTATTTTCATCGAGGGTCTACTAAATATCATTACCATAATCTTCAGTGGTTGGAACACGTCATAAATAAAACCAGGTTTCATGAATATGCCTTGGGCCGGAATTTACATACTAATGTGTTTTGGGTTAATAATGCAGTAAGATTAAATTACCTAATTATAAGATGTATGAAGGATGAACAAATTTAAATCATTTTGGACATCAGAGATTTTAGTCAAGAAAGCAAAAGATGTAGATAAGGTTCCAGTCCTAGTGAAGAGGGATGAAGTATAAACATCTTATGTGAGATTAGGACATAGTTATTGTAAATCTTGAGATTAAAGAATAATTGTATATTGAATAATCATAGTGTATTACAATGTACAAGAGCTCTCTATTTAAAGAGTATAAAAGACCTAATAGGTTGAGCTTATACGATGTGGGACTATATATATACTGAACTATTTTTACAACTATTCTAACACTCCCCCTCAAGCTGGAGCATATATATTGTAAGCACCCAGCTTGCCACAAATATATTCAACCCGAGGACCCCTAAGAGCTTTAGTGAAGACATCCGCGAGTTGATCATTGGAGTTGACAAATTCCGTTTTGATTTCTCCTGACTGAATCTTTTCTCGAATGAAATGACAATCGATCTTTATATGTTTGGTTCTCTCATGAAATACAGGATTAGAGGATATATGTAGTGCAGCTTGATTGTCACAAATGAGAGTCATGGGTTTCTTCTGTTCACAAAGATGGAGCTCCTGAATCAACTGCTTTAACCAGATTAGCTCGCAGGTAGCAGCTCCCATTGCACGATACTCGGCCTCTGCACTAGATCGGGCAACTACAGTTTGTTTCTTACTTTTCCAAGAAATCAGGTTTCTTCCAAAGAAAACACAATAGCCTGAAGTAGAGCACCTCGCCTATCCGAGGGTGATCCTGCCCAATCAGCATCTGAATAACCACAAATTTCTGTATTTCCCTGATTTGAATATAATAAACCTTTCCTTGGTGCTCCTTTGATGTAACGAAGAATCCTAACAGCAGCATCCCAACGAGAATCACACGGAGAATCAAGAAACTGACTAGCGACGCTAACAGCAAAAGAAATGTCCGGCCTAGTCACAGTGAGATAATTGAGCTTCCCAATCAACCTCCGATAACGTCCATGATCAGATAATGGTTCTCCTTGTCCGGGTAGTAATTTGATAGTAGGATCCATGGGAGTGTCAACTGGCTTACACGCCAACATACCAGTCTCTTCTAGGATATCCAAGGCATACTTCCTTTGACAGATAGAAATGCCCTGTCTAGATTGTGCTACCTCAATTCCCAAGAAGTAACGCAGCTTCCCGAGGTCCTTCTGAATAAATACTGTTTTAACTGACGAATTCCAGCTTGATCACTCCCAGTGAGGATGATGTCATCAACATAGACTAACAAATAGATGCACTTATCAGGAGATGTGATCCTATAAAACACAGAGTGGTCAACTTTATTGCGAATTAAGCCAAACTCCTGAACAGCAGAACTGAAGCGACTGAACCATGCCCGAGGAGACTGCTTGAGACCATATAAGGATTTGCGAAGACGACACACCTTCCCAGACTCCCCCTGAGCAACAAAACGATGGTTGCTCCATATAAACTTCTTCTTGTAAATCATCATGAAGAAAGGCATTTTTGATGTCAAGTTGAAGGAGTGGCCAGTGACGAATAGCAGCAAGAGCAAGAAATAGGCGAACTGACGCCATCTTAGCGACCGGAGAGAATGTATCGCTATAATCAAGGCCGAATATTTGAGTAAAACCCTTTGCAACTAGGCGGGCCTTGAGTCGATCAACATGGCCATCAGGTCCAACTTTCACAGTAAACACCCAGCGACAACCAACTGTAGACTTCTCTGGAGGAGCAGAAACAAGGTCCCAAGTGCCATTGGAATGAAGTGCAGTCATCTCATCAAGCATCGCTTGGCGCCACCCTGGATGGAAAAGTGCTTCACCTGTGGTCTTAGGAATAGAAATAGAAGAAAGACTAGAAACAAAGGTGAAATGAGGTGAAGAAAGACGGTCATAGCTCAAAAAAGTATAAAGAGGATAACGGTTACGAGTAGTACGTGTACCTTTTCTTTGAGCAATGGGAAGAGCCTCTGGTGAAGGATCCGGAGGGGAAGAAGCAACAGCAGTGGGCGATGAGTCAGCAAGAGTCGAGTCAACAGGAGGCACAGTTTTACGACGCTGATAGGTGAGAAGTGAACGGTCCTCAGGTATAGAAGCAATAGGTTGCTCATCTGGAATAGAAGCACCTGCAGCTGGCAAAGACAAGTCAAGAAAAGGGACAGGAAGAACATGATCAACCTGTGACAACTGAGATGGGATAGAATTAAAGGGTTGTTGATCAAGAAAAATGACATCGGCGGAAACTAAGTAACGCTTAAGATCGGGAGAATAACAACGATAACCCTTTTGAAGACGAGAATAACCAAGAAAGATACACTGAAAGGCTTTGGATGTTAAATTATCCTTACCAGGAGTGAGATCATGAACAAAACAAGTACAACCAAAGACATGTGGAGTTAGAGGATAAAGAGGAACATCTGGAAGCAATAGGTTATGAGGAATGTCATTGTTGAGCACAGATGAGGGCATGCGATTGATGAGAAAACAAGAGATGAGTACAGCATCTGCCAGAAGTGAAAGGGAACCTGCATATGAAGAAGAAGGGTACGTGCAGTTTCAATGAGATGTCTGTTTTTACGTTCAGTCACCCCATTTTGTTGTGGAGTGTGAGGACAAGTAGTTTGATGTAAAGTACCTTGTGTGGCCAAGAAATTAGAAAAATCAATGGAAACATATTCCTTAGCATTATCACTACGTAGAATACGAATAGAAACATCAAATTGAGTATGAATCTCAGTATAAAACTTTTTATAAATGGAAAATAACTCAGAACGATTTTTCATTAAATAGACCCAAGTGCAACGAGAAAAATCATCAATAAAGGTAACGAAATACCGAAAACCTAAAACAGACAAGGTACGACTTGGACCCCAGATATCTGAGTGAACAAGAGGGAAAGGGGCATCAGCTTGTTTATTGACTCGACTAGCAAAAGAGGAACGTGTATGCTTCCCTTGTTGACATGACACACAATCTAAAGACTGAAGACCGGATAAAAGAGGAACCATTTTCTGCAACTTTGAAAGACTTGGATGACCGAGGCGACTGTGGATAAGTTGTGGAGATTCTGTGAGAGAGAGTGCCACTGAAGGACGAGGCACATCCAGATAGTAAAGCCCCTGTGACTCACTACCCACTCCAATCATTTTCCCCGTACCCGGATCCTGCACAGAAACAGAATGGTTAGGGAAAGTAATGGTGCAAGTGAGGGAGTGGATCAACTTACTAATAGAAATTAAGTTATAAGGGATGCCAGGATTGTAATAAACAGATGTCAAGGCCAAGGTAGAGGTCGGACGAGCTTGTCCAATCCCACGAACTGGGGCTTTGGTTCCATCCGCAAGGGTAAAAGAAGGTAAATGGTCAGAATAAGTAAGAGATGTAAAGAGTTCCTTATTACCACAGAGATGATCGGTAGCACCTGAGTCAAATATCCAAGTGCCAAGTGATGTAGAATGAGAAACACAAGCAACGGGATTACCAGTATATGGTTGAGACTGAGGAGAAGCCTTCTTGAAAAGAGTTTAGAGTGCAGTATAGTCCGCAAGTGAGAGAGAAACTGAACCAAATGATGCATTGTCTGACTGAGCTATATTCGCAGCAAGAGAGGTAGAATCCTTCAGTTTGGAAGATGTAATGGGCCCAATATTAGTAGAGATGATTCCTGAGGAAGTTTTGACAGGAGGACAAGGAGAGTTAACCTCCGAGAGATAAAGGGACGCTGCTGCCATTTAAAGACAGAATATAAAAGCCGTAAACGAAGGCGAGAAGTTTTGTCCAAGAACGGCCGGAAAACTCCACCGGAACAGTGCACACGCGCCGGTTGAAGGTGGCGCGTGAGCACCACGCGTAGAGGAGAAGAACGGCGCGTGACTGACGCGACGGTGGTCGGACCACCACAGAACTGGTCGCCGGGATGAGATGGTCCTGATCGCAGGTAGTCTGGGCTGAAAACTCGCCGGAACAGTGCTCCGGTGGCCTGAACAGTGACGAGCGGCGGTTGTTGGCGGCGGGAAGTGGTTCTGACAGTTGAAGAAACAAGCCGGAGAGACACACGGCTTAGAGAAAAACTCGCCGGAAGAATGCACGGCAAAGTAGAAGAGAACACCTAAGCAGTGGGCTTAGGGTTTTAGCGGAAGCGGATCCCCAGAGCGAAAAAGCTCTGATACCATCTTGAGATTAAAGAATAATTGTCTATTGAATAATCATAGTGCCTTACAATGTACAAGAGCTCTCTATTTAAAGAGACTAAAAGACCTAATAGGTTGAGCTCATACGATGTGGGACTATATATATACTGAACTATTTTTACAACTATTCTAACAGTAAATACTAGAATTATTTTATTATTTTGTAATTTTGTAATAGTCAGTATTTGGGCTTAGCCCATTAAGTTTTTTATTCTCTTTAAATAGAGAACTCTTGTACGGATAAGATACAGTTTTATAATACAAAAATATTTTTCAATTTGGCATCAGAGCTGTCGATCCTGAGGGCTCTGCTTCCGCATCTATCGTCTTTAAAAAAAAAGAGGAGAATCCTTATATTTCGCCTCTCGCCGCCATTAGTCGCCGTCGAAAAATATTTCCGGGGGACCTTTTGGACCGAGAGGATCACCGTTCGACGTT